TCAGAGCCCCTCAAATACCGTGGTACAAAATGTAAAAATTAATTATGCATCAAATGGGAAAAATCAGACTTCTTGAAGTGGTGCCAATACATTAACATGCTCCCATGGTCCAACAGTGGTGCACAAATGAAACAGCCAGCAAGTCCCAATATTATAGACACTTGGTGTGCTGGTCTGAGTAGACTAGAGAACCAAATTCATAGACACTCGCATGTGTGTAAGAAAGAGCTTTATAGACAAGAGCAGTTGAAAATTGAGAAAACATCCCAGCCCAGTCCAGATCAAGTCCATAATTCCGATATTAGCCCATATGTCCAATACCAATCTATAAAGTCCTCGTCAGACTCATGAAATACATGCAATGACGTCGAATGCAGAAAGATCCAGGGCAGTGGGTGGGAAGTATTTTGGATCCAGCAGCATTATAAGCATCTCCGCCCTGGCAGGGGTCACCACATGGCTCCTCCAGTTCTAGAGGTCATGCACTATATCAGCCTAGTGCCATGTGTCTTGTCAGTAAAGCGTCTCTCAGGGAGTGAGCAGAGAGAGAGAGTGTCTCCCCCCTCCAGGGAGGAAATACAGCAGTCCCCAGAGTCCTCAGGAGAAGGTCATGGCCATACAGAGGCCTCATTGGCTATATCTTGATTGACAGGCTAGACTCCACTCCTACACTCTTAATCCTCAAATTGACACCAGATTATGTAACTACCACACTTGGTAGTAGGGAAAAAAACAAGGAAGGGAAAATAAAAGGGAATAATTTTAATTTTAAATTAAAGACTTTAAAATTCCTAACTCTAACTTCTCTTCTAAACTTGATTGCCCTTTCACAACTTGAGTTTGCCACGGGTGTGTTCTTATTCATACAGAGGGAGAATGCCAATAGTTCCATGTAGATGGTAGAAAGGAAAGTTATTTCAGAAACATACATTTTTAAAAAGAAGAAAGATGCCATTTATCTTTGGAGACTTTTATTCCCCCCCCTTCAGGAATGAGGATGAGGGTGTGCCACTGAGCTGTCTACATTCAGTTCAGACCTTGGCTAAGGCCAAGTTCATAGGCTTCTACAAAGACAGCCTGTGTCAGAGGGCAGAATTCCTCCTCATTAAGGGATGAAAACTGTGATCTCCCTAGAGCTTTGTTCCCGTCAAGCAGATTCTAGAAATTAGGCAGAAGGTTAAGCAAGTGCAGCCATCTGGGAATTATATGATCAATAAGTGTTCCTTAACAATGCTGTCTTTCATCTCCTATCCCCCTAGAAGGCGAAGCTGATTCTAGCTTCCCCGGGTCTAAGAATGGAGCATCCCCAGCACTGTACGTGAGGTCACAGGCCCTCAGGATGAGTTTTAGAGATGCCTGCTGCCTTGTTCAGTTAGCTGTCCAGGTTTGTCCCTACCCCTTTGGTGGCCAAGTGCACTGGTTTCCTCAATAACTTCCTCCAACCTCCCAGAGGAATTTCCTTATATGCAAGGAAAATGTCTATATCACTGGATTCCTTTATCTTTCTACAATAATGGAGGACCCCAAGGTACTTTTGCTTATGTGAGTTTTAGTTATTGATATTTCCATATTAGAAATTAAAA